TTCCCATGATGCATGCATACCCAAGGGGAAAGATAGTAAATAGATAAATTATGTGACTGTATTTCCCAGTTCCAGACATTGGATACATGATGTTATCCCCAAATTCTCTCCAAAGTAGAACAGGTAGATTTATTTCTCTTCTATTTATGTAAATCAATAGTTGATACATAGAAAACTGAATCAATATTAGTGTACATGCAGATGACAGAAATGATTGTAAGTGAAGTGGAGATAACTTTCTGAATCCAGGGCTTGCAATTACAGGAAATAGTGACTTATGAATTTCATCTGATGTAACATAAAAAGAGATGTTACCCTTTTGCATATTATTTCAAAATGTTGATGTAAGCATAAAAAAGTTTTACATATATATGTTTAAAAATCAGTGTTTCTGGTGAATAACTTTGAGTAACAATTCTCAACTTTGATTATACAATCAAATCCCCAAGGGAGTTATTTTTTAAAATCCCATTACCATGGCCACACCCCAGAGACTGAAATGAGAATCTGTGTTGCTGAAACCCACACAACCAGTGTTTTTTTCCAGTTCATGGGATGTTTCCAATGTGCAGCCAAAATTAAGAGCCACAGATATGTTATTACAGAGTTAAAAGGAAATAAACTTTCACTTTCCTTTAAGTATTATAGATTCATTATGTCATAATATAGTGTAAATATGAAATGCTGGTGTGATAAAGCTTATGATTTTACTGGAACACCAGATTTCAGGAACTTAATTGGATTAGTAGGTATCAAATATTCCTTTCGAGTTGATAAAAATTGCTATTTCAGTCTGCCACTTTTACTCTCTCAGTTAATTGCATATACATTGTGCTCCCACAATAATGTCAATTTTGCTGATCCCATTTAGATGTTTGCATAAAAGAAAAATAATGTCTTTGTAAGACAGATTGCTAAAAGAGTATCACTCTGTATGTACATAATTTCATTGAAAGCTGACTTTCTATGCACAATTTTAATGAAATGATCCTAGGGGAATGGCTATTTCTCTATTTGATTTAAAGATATGTATTTGAGTGTCAGATTAAGGCATATTTTTGAATAATTTAAATGTTTTTTCTAATTTTTCAGACACCCGTAATATTTTTTAAAATGTTTGATATAGAGTATAATATGGGGCAGAAATCATTACTGTGACTAATAGTATTAAATAATGAATTACTTATTATTCTTGTTATTTTCATTATTATTATTATCACTTTATTGCACACTATTGAACTAGCTCTGTGACTTGAGACTTATGTTCTGTGAAGTGAAGGTTTGAATTATTCAACTTTAAAAGTCCTTTCCAATTTCACCATTTGGAGATTCTGAGCTTTACTCGGCAGCGTAGACCAAGCAATGTGGACTACACGTTTCAGATTGCCTACTTTAAACTTATTATGTAAAAGACATAAAAGCTGAGGTGGACAGAGGTGAAATTATTTTTGCAATATTACAAAGAAGACGTGATTTGCTATGTGTCAGGGAGAAAAAAGTATTAGAGACATCCAATTTATTTAGTTTAAGTACTTACCTTCACCTCCATCATGTAGGCTCCTTGGGTTTTTTGTTTGTTAATTATTTCTGGAAAAATCAGTGAGTTAAAAACTTTACCAGGTTAGAAACTAAAGACATTAAAAAAACAATACTCTCAGTACTTTTTGTTGACTAAACAAAAAATTGTTTACTTCTAAGATATAAACTTTTTATAATTTATTTACATTAAATCAAGGTGAGTTTTAAAGTCAATGAGTCAATGGTTATTTATGATCACAAGCTGGCAGTTGTTATGTAGGTGGTATTTCTTAAGCTTGTGTGAATGTGGTCATGACTGTTCGTACAGTCCCCCTCAACTAAGTTATGGTCACTGTTTGTACTACATGTGTAGGGTCTGTTATCCAACATTTCAGAGATTACAGTAAGATTCAGTATTAGAACAAAAAGTTATTGTCCAAAAAGAAAGGCAAGGAGGCAGCAGTAAGAATTAAATTTCATGATGAAACAAATATTTATTGATGGAGCAATGACAACAATTTTATATTTTCTGCTACTCAACAGCTGACTGATTTATATAGCATTGCTTCTCATCATGTCAATGATGGGTCAGCAGTGTGGACATCACCAGAGATATTACTAGAAATGCAGAACCCTGGGCACATCCCTGGGCCTACTGAATCACAATCCACATTTTATCAAGATCCTTACATAATACCTTTGCACCTTAAAAATTGAAAAGCACAACTTTACAGTACCAAGGAAGGTAACCAAAAGAATATGAAACTGTGTTATATTTTGTTACTGAGATATGTGCTGATCATATCTCTCTCATGTGTTAAGCAATACAACCTAAAGCAGGGGAAAGGCCCTCAGAATAGATGAAAGAAATTTCAAAGCAACTGGTGTGACAGAAAACTGGTGCAAGTGATTCATAAGCAAGCATGACAATATTGATAGAAGTCTATGTCCAATGCGTTTAAAAGCTTTTTCTATAAAGTTATTTAATTATTAAATATATTCTGTTAATAAGAAATCATTATGCCATAGTTTATTTGACAATTTTTTTTTCTAGTGGTACATAAAATCATGGTGTATCTTAAGCTTTGATGAAATACAAGCAATAATGCTAGCTTAGTGTATCACAAACCCATCAGAAACAATGAATATCGTAACTCCTGTTCATACATATATCATTGTACTTGAGATAACTAGAAAAAGTGACATAGAAAATGATTAATTTGTATAGCTTAAGAATTATTCTATCAATGATTTTTGTGTTATATGAAATTATCTTTGCTAAATAACTTTCCACATAAGAAGAGGAAGAATTAATAAAAATGTTAACTGCATTTTATTTTTATGCTACATTAAATAATGACATAGTGGAAATTTTCTCTAAGTAAACATAATAGCTATTATACATTAAAGTAAATTAGTTTATTATAACTTTGTCACATATAATGAATATAAAATTAACATTTGTGAGTTGGTTTTTTTAAACCACAAAAACAGAGCATGATAGAAATAGTTTACGAAACAAGATCTAAATGTCTCCTTTTATTTTGATATTTTAAATGGTTGATCTAAATTAATATCTCATCCATTTTTTTTCTTTGTTGGCATTTAGTATAACATACAAAAATTTTAATTTAGAATTAATTACTTTTTTCCAAATAATACTAAGTCGACTTTGTAGACTGTTGTCCCCAGGTTAAATCCAGTAGTTGTTGACTGTAGGACTGCTTTCAATGTTTTTTTCCAGCTTTCCTTCTTATTGATGATATGATATTTACCATAAATTTTGCTTAGCATGCTGAAAAGGATGGGGTGTTGATGAGGCAGAAGAATTGAGGGTGGAGGGAAACCGTGGAGAGAACTTATCTCACTTACCAGGTTGGCTAACGACTAGCTGCCTAGAGTTACAAGTCTAATGATGAAGCACAGAGAAACTACTTGAATCTTGTCAGCAAAGTGGGAAGACAGGACTGTGAATCAAACTACATTTTCTCGCTATAGTTTTCTTTTCTTCTATATGCAATATCATCTATTGTGGGTGCTTAATAAATGCATTTCAAATAAATATATGTGGGAAAAATTAAAGTTCAGGTATATGTACATTCTTACCTGTCTATATTGCAGAAGACTCCGCTGAGCAGGTGATATTTTAGACTGCTTTAAAAGATGATTAAAATGTCAATAAGCACACAATCAGTATTTGTTTTATTATATGCCTTCATCTCCCACATTTTATTAGATTTTCTTTTTTTAATTCACCTGTGAAGGAGACTAACTTTAACAATGCTTATTTTGTGTCATGTATTAAGTTGTTCATGAGTGGCAGGAAATATCTGGTTCACTTTATTTTATGAAATGACTTTAATTTTTTTCACAACATTTTACATGAAAAAATAACCTAAGGTGAATAAACTTCTATTCCTGCTCTGGATACTCATGGCGTTATTTTTTTAATATTCTATAATCATGATGATTTAAAATTACGTGACAGAAATGTCTGAATATTGTCAAGTTGAGGAGTGTAAGGATCATCTGCATGTTAAACTTTAGATGATTGCCAGAATGATATGCATATTATTTACCCAAATATACCATTTTGGATTTATTGCTTGAAACATAAAATCTGGGCTGCTTGGGGTTTACAAGCCAAGTTAAAAGTTATTGTCAAGGCATCAAGTTCTAATAGTAATGGCAGTTATGGTTTAGCCCTTTACTAATCAGTGTGCTTCAGGGACCAGCAGCATCTGAGTCACCTAGAAGTTTTTAAAAAATGCAGAATCTCAGGCCTACAGAATCAAAACCTGCATTTTAACAAATCCCTAGTTGATTCCTATGCCCATTAAAGCTTGAGAAGTGCCAGTGGCCTCCCCATTCCCGCTCCTAATCTCTGATTTCAATTGTATAGTACTAATGGAGAATCTGCAAAATACATCCTGGTCCCTAAACCTTTCCTTCATTGTAGACATGGCTTATAGCATTCTCAAACAGAATGGAAAGCCAGATTTTTAAAACAGAATGCATAACTAGATGTTTGAATAGAAAAATAACCTCAGTCTTACATGCTTCAAAACTCTGTAGACATATGTCTTTTTATGTTCTTATGACTTTTTTGAGTTCTATAATAATTTTTTTCTAAACAAAGAATGAAATGATATCCACTAAATGAATTCATCTATTTCTGTTGTACCTGGTCTTTTACTGACAGTCTCAGAATGTTATTTAGTTTTCTCAGGCTTGTGGAAATCATGCTGCTTGGTTCCCTGCAGGAGTAGAAATGAAATATTAGTAATTATGCATATTTAATTTTAAAAATGCCAGCTGATTACTCACAGAATTTATAAAAAGAAAAATTATTTTAGATATTCATAAAATGTTTCCTTTAGTAAGGACGTTTCAAGTCTAAATTGTGTTATAATTTTTTTATTGCAGTGATCAGAATTAAAAATGAATGATTTATTAATATATCCTTCTTTCCTCTGTTCCAGATGCAAGACAAAGGTCTATCCTGATGAACTTCCAAACACAAGTGTAGTCATTGTGTTTCATAATGAAGCTTGGAGCACTCTCCTTAGAACTGTTTATAGTGTTATAAATCGCTCCCCACACTATTTACTTTCTGAGGTCATCTTGGTGGATGATGCCAGTGAAAGAGGTATAAATATTTTTAGTATTTATATGGAAAATATATATATATATTTTTTTAATTAGGAAACTTTATTATGGTAAAAAAGACAGCTGGGGAATGATCTGTATTTTCCTTATAATTATACTAACCCTGAAACCACCCATCATCATCAGTTTATTTTCATTAATGTACCTACTTAATGACAACTCTAGGAACAAGTAACTAGTTCTTTCAGTATTTCTCATCATTCCATTTGGTTCTGACTAACCCAAGAAATAAGCCAGAATGGCTTTCAGAAGTGTTCCATTTTTTTCCCAACTCAACTGCTCGTATGATTGAGCATTTATATGACTTTATGGATACTTGTTTCTTTTTTCCTTTTAGTTCAGGTAAATGCAAAATAAATAACACCATTAAGGAGGCTGCATTTGCCAATGTGGCCCAGTTTCTAAATTAGAGTCTGGTATGTTAACGTCCTATTTTATCCTTATCATTGTCAGCCAAGTAACAGAGTTATAATAATCACTGTATATGAATATACTTGTAAAATATACTTATGAATATACGTATTTCATCTACTGCAAAAAAATGTTTGACAGGAGTTGGCCACCATTTCTGTGTGTTGAATTTTCATCTGGGCAGTAGTATCTCTTTTATGTCTTAAAACCGTCTCAAAACTTTCTTATACATTTTCATTGCATGTTACAGATTTTCTCAAGTTGACATTAGAGAATTATGTGAAAAATTTAGAAGTGCCAGTAAAAATTATCAGAATGGAAGAGCGCTCTGGGTTAATACGTGCCCGCCTTCGAGGAGCAGCTGCTTCAAAAGGGCAGGTCATAACTTTTCTCGATGCACACTGTGAATGCACGTTAGGATGGCTGGAGCCCTTGCTGGCAAGAATAAAGGAAGACAGGTAAGAAATCATGTGTTATGTCTGCCTGGGTTATGACTGAAGCTGATAGGACAGTTTGGCTTTCCATCAAAACTCTGTCCCAGGTCGCTATTATTCAGAAGGCTTATTTACTAGCTTTTAAAAAAGCCATTCCCATCCCTCTCATTTAATAATGACCTTGGCTTATAAGGGATGAGCAGGAACATTTGATTTAGAAATAGTCAAACAATTCAAACAGTAAAAATGTGTTGAATATTCATTTTTTAGGTAAAGGAAATCAGTCAAATTTGAAGTCGTGCAATTTTATAAAATACATTTTCAAAGCACCTTACTGTATCCTTACAACTACAGTGTAAGGTTGATAATGTAGATGTTCTTAATTGTACCTAAAGATAGGAATGAACAGGTAAGTCAAGTAGCTTGCTCCAGGTATTGGAACTGATGGGAAGAATTCAGCTTTTCCCATTCCAGACCAGCCTTTCTTCTGCTATTGGGTTGTCAGAAAAGTCATGATGCATTTTTGCAACAAAAAACATAGAAAAAAATATGTCATGACTTTACCGACAACCCAATAGATCACTGCCCTTGTTCAAAATCTGGTTCAAAACCACCTTGAGGATCTTAAAAATAATCACACATAACACTGAAATAAAATCATGATTAAAAAAATAGAGAGAGCACATCTATCAAGAATAATTTAATTATCTAAACAATATTGTCACTTTGTATATACAAATGGTGAAATCTGAATTATTGAATAATACTTTATAGAAATTAAAACCCTCATGGATATCTACAATTGCCTCTGATTGTGATGCTGTGAAGTAGGAGCTTTTTATTTTTTTGAAGATATTCATAAACATCGTTGATAAATGAGTGTAATCCCCAAGCACTTAATGAAGACAAGTATGTTGAATACTGTCTCATATAATAACAAAGCATTGCATAACACCTTGCTTGCAAAGTCATTTCACCTACAGTAGAAAGGTCTTTCTAGAATTGAAGCTTTTAATTAAGCATCCAAGACAGGGGTCGCCTAATGTGAGCTAGCCCAGCTACATCACATAAATGGTAGGATTTGGTACTTGTCAGGAAGATGGATGGAAGTTGTCAGTAAAATGAACCATAGCAGCTGAAGAAAGCAGTAGGAACCTTTTAGTCAACTGAGTGTACTGCATGGCTAATGACATTTTTTTACTCTGTGTATTGTACAGTACTCACAGATTGGTAAGCCTGGCAAAGTAAAGTGAACTTGGAACATCTTAAATGCATTTCCTGGCACTATTCCATACATTATGCTACTGTTTTAAACATGCGTTTCATAGTCAACTTAGTGAGTTTTTAGTGTAATATTGTTTCAATATGGTCATGCATAGATCATTTATTTTTTAATCTAACAACATATTTAAATTGTATTTGCATATAATAATCTCTAATGTCTTACCCTACTTGTAAGTTATAAAGTTGCCATAAGTAGATAATAAAGCCCCATTTAAGGTTATTAGACCTAATTTCATCTTCCTATAAATTCAATTATTAAATCTAATGGAAAAAAGAGAAAATTATATTGATTTTGTAGGGACCAGCATTACCAAGAAGCTTTTCCAAGGCTAGATGAATTCTATTGATTTCAGAGAACTCTAGGCTTTAACGAATTGTGTGAAATATAAGACCCAATTGAAAATGAGTGTTGATGATACTAGTGTTACAAAACCAGAATAAATGATAGACAACATTTCTTTGCTTTCCACATCTATGGGTGATTCAAATGAATATTTGTATATTTGCCCATCAAATATGAAAAATAAGCTCTGCTCTTTAGAATTAGCTACAACCAATGCAAATTTGGTAGACCTGAACTTTTACTGTGAAGATGACAGAAGGTTGATCCCATGATAAAACATAAACTGGGAGCAGGGAAGATTGGAGGAGACACAACGTGGATTAAAAGAGTACCTAATGATTTCCAATGGTGAAAACTTTCTTACCCTAAAAAGCTACCATTGAGAATACTAACTCTCCTGGTTCTTCCTCTTATTTTAAGAAAAGATGGGTCATGGTACAAACACCAGAAACGGAAGTTGCTTATCTTTCCCTATCTTCAAATATGTAGATTGTTACTATAAACTCTTAAGCCTAGGACAATTTACTCAGAAATTGTCATGACCCTAATAGCTTTCATAGGAAACATTTACTTAACGCTGATGATCATGATTTTTATTATTGTTTCTTTTTGTTGACTTTCATTTGTCTATTTGTTTTTCCTAGTAGGTATTGTATTTTCTCCATGAAATTTTCTTGAAACCATCTCTTTAAACTAACCTAAACCCTCCGAGAGTCAAACTACCAGATCTAATGTACAATCATCCATTCTCCACTCTCTGCATGCTATTGCTTTTCTATAAAAGAAATAACTAAAATGATGCATAGTATCACAGCACATATACTAATCATGCTGTGCATGGAGGTTTTATGAAAAATAGACCCTGTTCATCCTGCTAAGTTAGTACTTAGAATGCATTTGGAAATCTGCTTGAAGATTAATTACTATATTTGATTAGGTTATACATGGTAGTATAAAGTTGACTGTAAAAAAGATGTGGTAAAATGAAATAATTTCATAGACAAAAAGGATAAAATAATAAAATCATATTAAAGTCATAAAATAATTACATTTCAACATATCAGCTCTAATATATTGAGTTTGAAGAAACTAATGTGACATTTAAATTATTATTTATATGTAAACTGGTTTTACTTTTTCTGCAGGAAAACAGTTGTATGCCCCATCATTGATGTGATTAGTGATGATACCTTTGAATATATGGCTGGGTCAGACATGACTTACGGGGGTTTTAACTGGAAACTGAATTTCCGTTGGTATCCTGTTCCCCAAAGAGAAATGGATCGGAGGAAAGGAGACAGAACATTACCTGTCAGGTATGTAGATCAGAACTTCCAAAGGATAGCCTGTGTGTTTCTATAACAATTAAGAAGTATTATAAATGTGTGCTCTCATTTTTAAACCTTTTAAAGTCAGTATTTTTTATTCATGTACACATATGTATTATCACCTTTTACATGGTCATCTAAGAATCAATGGCTTTATTAAATCTAGTTTAAATTAGCACAGGCATATTTAAGTATTGGCAGAAGTGCCAAATTTCTTTTGATACTTTGTATATTTTTATATTCAAAATATATTTATTTTAAATTCTCTATGTGATAAATATGTGTTAAACTTGACACTTCAGGTAGATATATTTATTACCTAAGTGTATGTTCTTTATAGTACAGGTATTGTCAAAACTGAAATAACCAAAAATGTTCTGGTAAATATTCTAAATGTACCAAACTTAAAGAACTGTCTTTCTGGGGATACAAAAGAAAAATTCATTTGGAAAATATTAATATATTAACAATTATGAAGGATTTATTATTTGAAAATAGCTACTTAATTTGAGACACTTATTCATAAATAATGTGTTTGCATTTAATACAAAAATAATAAATATCATATGCATCTTTAGTTATCTAGATAAGCATTACCCACTTTATCAACATAAAATTATCACCTTCTTACTTTAACATATTATTATGTACCTCTTACCGGCAACCAACTATTAATTTATTGAATAATACTTTGGGGAGGGAGTTCATTAGCTTAGCTCTTTAAAGATGAATTTGGCAAATCATCATTTAATTGGAATAACAGAGAGATACCCTAACATTCTAAAACAATATGTATAACTCATTATCTAAATAAGAATGTCTCTTAAGCTAATGAGGGAATGACATCCATTGGCAAGATTCGCTATATAATGAATTAATAAAAACTAACTCTAAAAATTGGCTAATGGAAGAGAACAGCACATTTTGTTGTTGTTGAACAATTAAATATTGGGGCTGTTAACCCTCTTAAGGAGATATTACTACATTAAAAAGAAAAATAAAATGTGGCTTTAAACAATTGCATAAAGATGTGAAATTACTCATTTAGAATTTAAAGTGTAATTTAGTTGCTCTTAAATCCTCATGTAATTTCACTTTCACCGAGTCTCATTGACCCTGGCCTTTAACAACATGAGTAAATACGGTGGCTCATAGTACCACTGTTTATTAGAAACCCTATTTTCCCATATCATAGTTTCATTTAGCGTTAGCTGATTTTTCTGCTTTAGCTCCCAAGCAAAAACTATCAAAAGGCTTGAATAATATGCTCAAATATAGATAATGTGTTTATTCATTTAAAAGTGAAGTTTAAAAGAATTCATGTTTGTATTCGTTTTTTTTTAAACAATGGCAAAAGACATTCTTTATTTAACTTTATTTTCTCAGAGTCAAAAGGTAGATAATTAGAGATAGCCAACATTCATCGTAAGAATTTACTGATGGCATTCATGAAAGTAAAGATCTACACAGAAATCGCACATTATCTCCCATCTTTTGTTAACTAAAACTTAAGATGGGACATCGCACAATTTATGTGGTGTTATTGTAGTAACATGGAGAACTGATAAAGTGTAAATATATTTTATTTGTTTCCCTCAGTAACTACATAGTATTTCACGTTCAAAAATGCTGAAGTGACTGGAGCAAAAGAAAAAGAGAAAGCTGTCTTTGCTGAAGTTTCTAGATATTTATGGCAAAAGGTTAATTAATTCATGGGCTGTGTTGTAACAGCCTGCAGGTAATTTTCATCAGCATAGTTATAATGTGAACTTTCTTTGTACTTGTAATCTATTATTTGAAGATGTGATCATCTTTCTCACATTTGTGCAAACAGATAAATCATTCTAGGCGTTGAAGAAAAAAATTTTTTTTCCTACTTGATTAACAGAATTCTGAATAGCTAAAGTGATTAAAATGAGGTTGAAATCTTAGTTTTCTTAGTGGAATGCTTCATTTAAAATGTCAGTTAAGACAGAGCTTTCTAGGGACTATAATTGGCTTGTTAGTCATCATTTAGAAATATAATCATGGATCTGCATACATAGACAGCCAACTTGAACTTCTGACCTGATCTTAGTTATACCATAAAGTAAAGTTTATACTGGTTTTACTTATTATTTTATTTTCAATCCCTGGGCTTTGGTATTTTCATTTTGATAGTAAATGGAGTTTGTGAAATACTTGGAATTTGTGAAATTATGAGTATGGAATAATTACACACATAATCCTGAGTATTTAGTTTTCTTATTAGTAAACTCTCTTTGACATTTTAGTAGTCAAATTGAATGACTTTTCAGGAGTGTCTCAATTACATGCACAACAATAGAGTAATCAAATTGTTACAGCAGAGGTCGCAAATCAGGTGCTTGCATGGCAAATATGTTCTATAGAGGTGTTTTATTTGGCCTACATAGCATTTTGCATTAAAAACAAAAAACTACCAAAATTTAAAAAATGAGATGTTTTCAATAAAAATCTGGGTTTCCAGCTATTCTTACTACAGTGGTACAGTATTCTTACTTGAGGAGCTGAGTAGAAGCTGCCCATATAGAAGTAGCATGAAAGTTTAGCGGGATCCCTACAATTCCTTTCGTGTGTGTGCTCTTGACTTTGAGTTGCCTTTTGTCATCATTCTTAACTTGAAGAAATATTTCTCCGTATCCGTGTCCCAATCAAGGTGAGAGAAATATACTTATTGCAACTAACCACTTCACATATTGACTTTATTTACCTGGCTGTAATCTTTTTAAATTTGTGACCTTTGACTTAGAGGCTACTTCCTGGGAAATGGCAGAGATTTAAAGTATTAGACAAGTTAGCCGTCTGTGAGTTTGCACATATATAGTCTAATGGGAAGTTCACTAGTATCAGAAATTATCTGGTAGTACAGATGACCTTCCAAATCATTTAATTAGATTGGGGGTGTATTATGCATTGTTTCTAAAGCATATAACTTTTGAGTGATTTGGTTCAAGCTATTGAACTGAGTTTGATTCTATATGCAAATATACACTGAGCAGTGTGCTAGGTTCTGTGCATACAAAAATGAATAAGGCAGTCTCCGCTCTGAAGTTGCTCACTGTCTGGCACTGGCCACATGCATGCTGGGTGAGGGAAAGAGGCCAGCACACGTGGCCAGAGTGGATCCACAGAAGTTAAACTATGTCAACTGCTAGAGTGGCGTGTGCTGCTGGAAAAGAATCCGGCTTTAATCTCGTTTTAGTTTCTTAATTATGCATGCCCTGTAAGTAACCCTCAATAAATAGTTATAAAGATATTAGTTTCTACTTTAATTTCTCAATGATTAAAATAGATTTCTTTACTAAAATCCTACAGGTTATTTATCAAGTCTATTTAACTTTCCCTTTGTGTTTTACCTTATGGACTCTTTTACATTTAGTTATTATTAATATTCTTAGTATGACTTCCTGCATTTTAACTTGGAGTACCATGTTCAGTATCTTCTGAAAGCAAAACAAAAGAGTTTTGTAATTTTTTCTAAGTCTTCCTATCAAAATAAATGAAATATAGATATAAGTATGAATTTTTATACCTAACACATTTTACTTAGTTTGATATCCCTTTTTTTAAGACATTTATCTGATCTCATACATATGTTTTCTCTCAATTGGTATTAGGAATTTATAAAGAAGATAAAATGAGTAACATTATTAGTAACACCTGAGATTACAATTATTGTGCCTTTATTACAATTATTGTGCCTTTATTTTGAAAAAAAAAAGCAAAAACAAAAACTTATAGAATGCCCACACATATATTTCTTGCATCCGGTAGTGTGATATCATTGACAAAGTATTGATGCTGGGTTTGGGGGATCTGGGTTTTACTTTAAGCTCTTCTAATTGGGAAGTTACCCAGCCCTCTCAACTATTAAATGGAAAATTATTCTTCCAGCCTTTCTTAACTCATGAAGTGCTGTAAAATATTATATGAGAAATATATTTGAAATGAGTTATTTTAAATTTATTGCTGATCATGTAACGAACATGTATGTATTGCAAAATCAATGTTACAAGTACCTAAAGCATTATAAAACTGAACACCAGTGAGCCACCTCTTTTAGTATTTTGTTATGGTTATTTCCAGATAGTTCTTCACAATTTAAAAGTTGATATGTCATAAGTATTTTCCTATGCCATTAAATTTCTACACAAATGAAATTTTTAATGGCTGCTAATATCTCAATTATTTACTTAGCTTATCCTCCATTTTTAATAGTCTAAAGTCAATTAAGAGTTTGTACTTTATTTTTGCCAATTATGTCTTCTGACCTCCAGTTTTTGCATATAACATGGTCTCTTTAGAATTATGCAGTCAGACAATATGAAATTTGTTTTAATATCATAGATACCTTCTGCCAATTTATTTTCCCCCAAAAGTATCACTGACTTCAATTTATAGTTCTTTTAGTAATTATGTTAAATGAATACACTTATTTTATTTTGTAAAATGTTATAAAAATATAAGGCTATATTTCTTATTGTTTAATAGCAACTAATGATATATTTCTTAATTTTTACCTGTCAGATATTCTGTATTAGATTTTTCTTAGTCCAATGAAAATATACTTTTAAATTGGAGGACAGAAGAATAGAGAAATCCTCTCAAAGTCTGTGAGACCCTTTTTTTTTGCAACAGGAGATACTAAAGCAACACTACAGGAAAGGTGAAGGTTGAGAGCAGAGCGAAGACTTTGAAAGAAAAAGTTGAACTTTGGAATATTCAACTGTTCAACATTCTTACCTATTCATGTTAAAATTTAATATGTGTTGATTTTGAGAGAAAAAAGATTCCACTTGAGATGGAATCTGTGAATCTATGTTTTTTGGAGAAAACGAGCACATTTATATATATTACTTTCTAATAGCTTAGGGAATAATTTACTAGGAGTCTGTTGAGATGAGATGAAAACAAGGGTAGTGTAGAAAGGTTCCAAGGTGATGAATTAAATTTCACATTATTATATA